GGCCCCCGGGCGGCTGCTCCTCGGCGGGCGGGAGCTGCCAGACGTCCCCGGGGCCGGGCTTCACGCAGTAGGTGTGTGCGCTGCCCTCGCCGCCGCACAGACCTCGTTCACAGCCGTATTAACGCCCTGGCAGCCTCCGCAAGGTAATATGTAACGTTGATTTCCACATGTTTTAGCGGTTTCTCTCGTTTTCAGTCGCATCTCGCAGTTAGAAGAAGGACAGGCGGTATGTGACCCAGTTTCTCTGTAAGGACCAGCGGCAACTGGGTGATAGAGTTTGGGAGCCTGTGGGTTGCATCAGAGAAAGGAGCTTTATAAACTAAAACTGTTTTCTCGTAAGCTAGCTGGGAAATACCAATCTTCAGCATTAAGTCATCAGATACAGCAAGCCGCTGTCAAGGAGCTGATATTGTTTCCCATCAAACATTAGGGTGCACAATGCCTCAACCAGCATTTTGATTGCCGAGGTCCGAAGTGCTTTAATCCATCACAGATATTTTCTTCTGGACTGTATCAGAGTTTCCAGCCATGTTATTGATTCCTGGAGTCTTAAACCACAGATACACTTAATACAGGGAAGTTTTCAAAATTGAAATACTAGCACTGTCATTGTAATATATAAGTTGTAAAATATAAGTTGTAGCTAGTTGCTGTTATGCAGTAAGGCAATCACCACCGTAGTTGACAGTGTACCTCCTTACCTTGGCTACCGAATCTCAGTTTTGAAAGCAAAAGTATTTTTTCTCCTGACCAAGAATTTGTGTCACTCATTATGTTCATATCACTCTGAACGGATGTGAAGGTGATGCTCAAGTGTCCCGTGGAAAGGAGCTGAGTGGCAATATGCTTACTTGAGTGTATGCAGTATTCTGCTGAAGTCCTACTGAATGTGGCCCGTTTCCTCTAAAGGGCAGAGTCTCTTGCAAAAATGGAATTATCCTAATTAATAATTTAAATATCTCAAAATAAATAATGTATACCCACGAAGCTGTAATAGCAGGCATCTTTTTGTTGTTCTTCTCTTATGGAAATGGTAGACTGCTTTAGTGTGAATGAATCCTGACATGATTCTGGAAACTGGGCCAACATATCATTGATTATGCACTTTGAAGAAAAGTGGGAAAGGTAGAGGGAAGATTTACAATTCTTGAATCTCTTGGCATTCTGATGAGGCCACAAAAGCCTGTGTATAGAAAAAACAAAGTTTCTGGGACAGAGGAAAATTCTGCAGTGAGTCCAACTATAGCAACTGTTGTAGATGCTGAAGTTATTTCATAAACAGCTTTTCTGAGAATAGCAGCTAGCTAATTTCATCTTACTATGTTATGCTTTTATGATGTCTGACTGTATTGCTTTCAAACATCACCTGACTGCTTTTTATATGTGGGCTGCAGTAAGCTACAGCTGGGGAAGTGGATCAGAAATGGCCTCCTAAATAAATTGGAAGTTGAAACTGGATCTGTCCTTAGCCCTTGGTATATGGGTTATAGCTTGATCCTGTGGGAGTATCTCCATAGTTTAAATCTAGCATCAATATGCTTTGACACCAAAAAGGACACTTCTCTCATCCAAGTCTCACAGGACTGAAAGATACAGGAAAAAGAAGAGGTGGGCATAACTCTTTGCAGGGTGGGAAGTGCTACTGTTTAAGTTGGATTTCAATGGTTGTATAACCAAACCTTAGGAGTGCAGTTTTCCATTAGAGGTAAATCAATTTATGGGTTAGCTGCTGCTGAAGAGAGCATTCCTATTCTTGAACTGGCACTAGTGCTTGTCTGACCACTTCTGCTGAACTGCAGTATTTAATTTTCTGCCAGTCTGGCTCCTCTGACTATCCTGCTGAGGTGTCTGATGAGTAACAGTGCTGGTGTGAAAAAAGGTTGAGGATGGAGGGATGGGACAGGAGGGAAGGGAGAGGTGAGAAACAACGGTGGCCCTTTCAGCAGCAGCTCTCTGTTAGGTCAGCTTAGCAGTAATGTGAAACTATACTCTTAAATTACAGTAGCCCTGAACTTCGTGGCCCACAAAGGAGACAACATCACTGTAGTTCTTACTTTACTTCTCCCGTAAATCTAGAAGTGGGCTAAGTATGAGACCTAGTGTATCCAGAAAGCTTAAGTCAGATGATTTTAAAACCTTCAAGAAGTAAATGTTTTCTCTCCCAAGTTTTCAAATCGTTGACATATTCTTTACTCAACTTTAATCACTCAGTTTTCTGATGACTCGGTGTAACAATTCCATAGAAATTTTTGGGCAGAAGAAATGGAAATTTCTTCCCAGGGATATACAAGGTAATGGCTATGATTCTGAAATAACCCCAAGAGTTCATCAGCTTCTCTGTATTTACATTCATACTGTCTTTCTTCCAGTCACCCATGTCATCTCAGATCATATTATGTAGACCATGGAGATAGCCTCAGTATACAAAAAAAACTAGACAAAAATTATTTGATTGAATTTGCCGCTTCTCAGTCATGCAGATTCATTAAATGGGTGGTAAAATGTTGCTGACATCAAGGGATTTATAAATACGTATTGACTCACGTCATTTGTGCCGGAGAGTAAAAGGTGCATTTTAATATCCGGGATGTGTGTTCAGGATAGACCTCTGGCCTTCTTATCATATGGGGGTAGCATTATGTTTACTTAAGTAACCTGTTCACTTATTTATTTAATTGCCCCATATTTTTACGGGGGGTACTTTTATCAATATGTATGTACCAAAAGAAGGTATTAAATCATGGAGATGCAGAATTCAAAGAATCATACCTTACATACTTATTGAGCTGTTCCTAAAAGCTTCCAGTATGGGAGATTTCACAGCATAAATAGCTTAATCTATTATCCTCTTAGTCATGTATGGTTTTTTTCTTAATATCTAAGAGAAATCTCCTTTGTTGCTGCTTGAGATAATTTCTTAATGCCCTACACTAGTTGGTGCAGAAAGCAAGAACTGATCGTCATTTGAATAACAGATCTTTAAATCCTGGAAGACATATGCCCACAGTCTTCCCTTTTTGAAGCTAAAGAAATGTAAGTACTTCAACCTTTCCATATAGGGTACGTTTTTGAGAACTCTTGTATGCTTTATTGCTCTTCTTCAGACTTGGATTTCTCTCTATAAAGAAACACTAAGCATAGCTGTTTAGTCCTTATCAGTATTTAGCAAGGAAGAAATACCTCAGCCTTCCTGCAGGAGATTATTGCCTCCTAAGATCTTCTGGTAAAGTTGCTTAAACTCAAGAGCCTCTGATTTGTTTGGTCAAAATTAGTTTGGTTAGCCAATTAAAAAATTGGTCCAATTTTTAATGAAGCAAACCAGGCGGCTTTGCCAGCAGGCCAGAAGAGGCAGCTACCATTGGTATGGAGAGCACGGGCAAGGCGGTCACTGACAACCATAGCCATTATCAGAGCTGTTTGTGGAGGACATGAATGACTATATTTGAGTTTGATTATGAGACAGTAATGTGGAACCATCAAGAATGCTAGTAAAATTGAGCTTTATCCTGTGTAATCTTTCCTCTTTCTCCATTAAGCTAATTATTTTGTTGAAAAATGAGGAAATTAGACTTTCTAACATTGTTTGGTATTGGCACCTTCCTATCTTCTACATGTCTATGAAGTAAGTTGCCAAATCACTTATTTTCGTGTCTTCATAGTACGAACAGTCTCATGGCATCTGTCGTGTTCCTGATTTTCATCTCCCTCTATCTGAAGTCCCCTAGTAATTTGTAGAAAAGCAAGTAGAACTAAAAATGGATGTTCACATATGCCAGTAACATCACATGCAGTAAGTGTAGTTCTTCTTTTAGATGTACCTGTGTACAGCTTTAGAGATGCACTGTGCCTCCCAGCAGGCCCCGAACAGGGTATATACTTAAGTCAGGCAGCTGACTCCCAAGCCTAAAACTTCCTGACAGTTTAGGGAAAACCAGTGGGGCTGTGCTGAGGGTCAATGGCTCACGCTCAGAAGTTGCCATCACTGGGACTGGTCACTCCAGACTGGTCATGAAAGACTACCGACATTCTGTAATCATCTAGAGGTTATGTAAAGAGAGCAGGCTGTTGAAATGCATATTTATTTTGTCAAATTCAGTAAATGGTATGTTCCATGTTTTTTGTCATACAAAGGATATCAAACGTGGAGTTTAACTAGCCACTAGATGTCAATGTTGTTGTGCTAAAAGACAAATGCATTTTTATTTGTTTGGCTGATAAAGTAATTTATTAAATAAAAGCACTTCTGGATTTAAATTTTTTTCCAGTATAGTCAGTTACAAAAAATATCGTAGACAAGCCTGTGCTATGTGCATTATTTTGAGAGCAGCTGTGCTGTTTTATGCTATTTTGGAGTTGCAATTACCATTTCAGTGTGTAATCATTGTTAGAAAAGTGCCTTTGAAAAAATAGCATCTGGTTGTTCATCAGTTTCCTCCCTTGTTCCAAAATCCCAGATCTTTGTATAAGTAACTGCAATCATTGTATTGCATTGTATTTGTTAATAAGATAAAATAGAGATAATAATATGATATCTAATCCTATTATAAGAGTATAGAATTTCCTAAACTCTTATTATCGGTGGAAATTTTCCTCTTAATTATTCCTGTTTAACACCATTGGAGATCACTGTCAAATACACTGTGTAGGAACAGAATTTCTAGAACACTAAGGCTTCCAATATGAGAAACAATTTGGAAAACTTGGTTCTTTTGAAAATCTGGCGCAATTCTGTATAACTAAAGGCAGAGCAGACAGATGGTGGAATTTTAGAAAGCCAGGTGAAGTAGAATTTGACCTATGGACCTTTCTTATTCCAGGCTCCTGTACTTCTAGGGTGAACAAATCACTCCAAACCTCCACAGCTACTTATTGCCTAATGCAGTGTCAGACTTTTATCTGCAGGCAGTGGTTCTGTTGGCCATCTACAGAGCACTTTGAGACCAAAGTTTGGGAAATAGTTTTATAAACACTAATCCAAAGCTCAAGAAGACGACAGTACACATCTGAAAATCCACATTTTTCCACATTCCACTTTTTCTGCTGATAGGAAAAAAAAATATCAAAGGCTTTTATTAAAAATGGAGTTGAAACTTTCAGTTGATGTGAAAATCTCCAAGAAGAAAAATATGAAGAAATTGCTTCATTATCATGGACTGAGCTAGTTTAAGTTATGCTCAACACTTTATTTGATGGTAAGATCACTTACGCTCTTAACATGCTAATGAATCACAGATAAATGAAGACTTATAATTGTTTTAATTTCTAACACCTATTTTATTTTTCTT